GGCTCCCAAGAGCTCCCAAAGCGGCCCAAGAGGGCGCCAAGACGGCCCCAGTGGCGCCCAAGACGGCCCAAGAGGGCACCGCGAACCGAAAAATCTAGCCTTTTGCCCCAAGACCCGCCCAGGAGGCCCCAAGAGCCCCCCAAGAAGCCCCAAGAGGCCCCCAAGAGGCCCCCAAGAGGCCCCCAAAAGGGCTCGAAAAGGACCGCAATAGGTCTCCCAAGAAGGCTCAGAGTCGCCAAAGAAAGAGCGATCGGTAATGCAAAAAGCTCTTCACACCAATGCTCCCAAGAGAGACGGGTGACGTAAACAAGTTGATAAGACCAAGGATCCCAGCAGAGAGCGGTGACGTAACAAGTCCCTGTCACCAAGGCCCAGCCAAGGCTCAGGAACGGGCGGCAACGCAACAATCTCTGAAGACCGAGGCTCCCAAGAGCGAGGGGTGACGTAACCAGCTCTCAACGCCAAGGCTCCCAGTGCGAACGGTGGTGTGAGTAATTTCGGTTTCTGCTGCTGCAGCGCTCTTTCCGTTTCTGTGCCAGGCTCAGGTCTAATGGCTGTCGACCCATCCTGCCACCGTGCCTGGGTTGTGGGTGTGGAGCCTATTGGATGTTCGTTGGGATCTCGTGGGCGGCCTCTCGGGGGGCCGTTTTGGGGTGGTCTTGAGGGCCTCTTGGGCCGTCTTGGAGCGTCGGAGAGCCGACAAGGCGAGAACGCCAACATCTGTCAACATCCAAAGAACATGTTTTTTGCCTCGTGGGGCCTTCTTGGGAGGCCTCTTGAATGCCTCTTGGGCCATCGTGAGGCCCATGTTGAGCGTCTCGGAGCGATGGTTCGGCGACTCGGGGCCCTCTTGGGCCCCCTGAGGAGCCTCTCGGGGCCCTCTGGGCTCATCTTGGGGCCGTCCTGGGCCCGAACAAGTCATGCGACACGCCGCGACGGGCCCACGGGGCACGCAGGAAGCCCGGGCAGATTTCGGACTTGTGGTTCCGGGCCCCTGAAAGGTTCCTCAGGAGTGAGGGTTGAGGCTCCAGGGATTGGGCAAAGGACCTCAGGGCACGCCCACTCTCTGACCAGCGGCACGATACAGTGGAAAATTCATGCTAAGAAACACCCTGCTTGCCTGCAGCGTGCCCTGGGTTTCTTGAGTTTCGATGGTTCTGCTATGGAAAGTGCGACGCTCCCACACCAAAAGTCCATGGGCGTCCTGGGGTCTCAGAGTTGGGTTTCTTGCGGAAGGTCTCTTGTGGTCGAGTTTCTATTGTAGCGTGACGATGAAGACTTGGAGGGCGGGGGGACGAAGGGGGGTGAGGGGGTCCAGTCGACGACTCGAGGACAACGACGACCGCGAAGAGCGACAAGATCAGAAGCCGCGATGGCGATGTGGGGGAGGGGGGGAGGGAGGGAGGGAGGTGAGGGACGGAGGGAGGGAGGGAGGGAGGGAGGGAGGGAGGGAGGGAGGGAGGGAGGGGAGGGAGGAGGAGGAGGAGGAGGAGGAGGAGATTAGGGATCATATGGTCTGCTCGGACGCGCGCCTCCGAGGAGGACGCACAGTGCCAGCGCGTCCACCCCGCGTCCCGCCGAGGGGCCGACGGGGTCTGCGTGCGCCGCCCGCTTCGCCCTCCCCTGTTCCACGGACGCGCCCGTTCTTCCGCCCTGCCCGTGCCAGTTCCGTGGAAGAGAGTCGATGGAGAGGAGCGAGGAGGAGGAGGAGGGGGAGGTGGAGGAGGAGGAGGAGGTGGAGGAGGAGGAGGAGGAGGAGGAGGAGGAGGAGGAGGAGGGGGAGGAGGAGAAGAAGGAGGGGGAGGAGGGGCCAGGAGGTGGAGGAGGAGCATGTCTGAAACCTGTGAAAGCATGTTTGAAACATGTTCCCTACAGTCTTGAGAGACACTGGAAGTGATAGTCCTGTTAGGAGTGTCCACTGTCATGGCATCCACAGTGCTGGTTTGTCGTTCTGTCCGTCGCTGCCTTGGACGCGCCGCGCGACTTCTGGCGCCGCGACCCCCCAAAAGACACGTGCTTTGCCAGACGGCCTTCTGCCCACCACGGAGAAGTAATTCAGTGGTGGTGTGAGGTCCGCGCGCCTCCTTGCTCGGTGCCGCCTCCGTGCCTGCCGCGCCCGCGCGCGCAGGCAGGCTTGCCACAGCAGCCGCTCGCTCAGCATGCTGCATCGAGAGAGGAGCAGGAGCAGGATCAGGAGGCGGAGCAGAAGGAGGAGGAGGAGGAGGAGGAGGAGGAGGAGGACAAGGAGGGTGTGTACATGGATGAGCAAGAGGAGGAACAATACAATGAGGAGGACTGGGCTGAGGCTGATGGGGGTTGGGAGGAGGAGGAGGAGGAGGAGGAGGAGGAGGAGGCCGAGGCGCCTCCAGCCGGATGTCACAGAGGCGTGGAGCACGAGGCGGAGGCGGGGGCAGAGGGAGGATGAGGATGAGGCCGTCGGCATTGGACATTCTATTGGAGTCTTGGGGAGGTCCTTCTCTCCCTGTCTCTCTTTTCTTCTTTTTGCAGCAGTGTGTCGTCCTCGTATTGCGCATTGCTTGTCGAGTCACGGAGTCACATTCTATTGGATCGCTCGGGCGCTCCCAGCGCGAAGCAAGGCTTGCCACAACGCACCGCAACAGCTTGGCCAACATAGCGAGGACGACACATGCAAAGCCAAGACAATCACGAAGGGAATGGAAGCGTGCAGCACATTTCTTTGTGATGCGCTGCAGGACAACGCTGTCGTCTTGTGTCGCAACGAAGGCATGCTTAACCGCTTGCGCTGCCGGGAGAGTCAGCAGCTCAGAAAGCTCAGGGTTTCAGACGGTGCCCAACGAAGGTCGGGCGGATGTCTGCCAAGGGACGTCCGTGCCGATGCAGGTCTGGGTTGGTAGCGACGGCCGTGAGCGGTAGCACCACCTTGCTCCGACGGCAGTGCACGATGGGGCAGCGGATGTACTGGATCCGAAGCTTTCCTGCGGCGGGGCCCGCCGCTGGCTGGCTCGCGGCGGGCGAGGAGTCAGCAACGATGGACTGCTCGCCGCGGGCAGTCCTTCGAGGCCGTGGGCAGCGGGCGCTCGTGCGCGCCGCGCCCGAACACGCGGATAGGCTATCTGGTCGGCTCTTCCATCTTGATCGGATTGGGACGGCGGCCGGCGATAGCCGTTGATCATGATCCTCCTCCTCCTCCTCCTCTTTTTCCTCCTCGGGTCGCCTACGGCCCCGGGGGGAACCGTGCATTTCGGGGAGGTGTAAGGCTCGGGTCTGCCGGAGTCCCTTTCCCGCGCCTTCTGCCTCTGTGCCTCAGTTCGTTCCTGGCGTGTCCCGCCCGTAGCCCGACCAGCGTCTGCACCAGTTTCGTCTCGCTGGCGCCCGCTGGCTCAAAGAAGAGTTTGCTGGCGCTCGGCTCTGCAGTCGCTCTTTGGTTGCGCCCCGGCCGAGAATTCAGATGGCCTGATCTTCTTAGGGCGCCTGCAACGGGAGCTCGCGTCGGGTGTTGGACAGGGTCCCGCCATTGTCCGGCGTCGCCGTCAGGCCAACCCGAAACTCCCTAAACCATCTCCGCCCGCAGGGCTGGCGGGATTCATGCCACGTCGAGCTGCTTCGCCGCACCTCTGCAGAGGGAGACGGCATCACCCAGCATGGCACTGCTGTAAAACTATAATTTTGGGAACTGGTGCACCTGGACAGCGGTGCTGAACCCTGGCGCGCGTTGGTGAGGTTAGCTCCGTAGCGTTTCTTTGGTCATTTGTTGTTTGTTTGTTTTTCCTTTCTCTTTCTGTAGAACCTGCCTGGCTGAAATCATATGCCACCACGCCGTGCATCTTCGGGAAGGTCCGAGTAAGATGACTGGTGGCGGTCCGAGTAGGGAGTGTGGCGGATACCCGTCCTTGACCTTGGTGGGATCGGTGGCGGTCCGTGTAGGAACGGCGAGGTAGAAACCGAACTACGAGGTCAAGGTACGATGCGTGGCCACATGCTTGGGATGACTACTCTCAGGTCAAGACACGGGGGAGCAGGGATAATGGAAAGCTGGGGAGTAGGTGCGAGGAGTAGGAGGAGGCGGGTAAGAGGATGATGCGGAGGAGGAGGCGGAGGAGGAGGAAAAGGAGGGGAAGTTGGAGGAGGAGGAGTAGGAGGAGGAGGCGGAGGAGGAGGCGGAGGAAACCGCGAGGAACAGCAGGCATGAGGCCGCTCCAGGAGGCCTCGATAGCCTGACCAGGGACATCAGGGATAGCTCGAGTTTGCCCGAAGGCATGCGGAACTCAAGCGTTGAACCCCGAGGGCCGAGACTCTGAGCCCAAGGGCTCAGGCCCTAAGCCTCGCGACCCTGCAGGAGTGAGGACAGCGTTCGCTTCCGGTTCGCAGCGGGAGGCACCGCGATCGGACAGGGGCGCGGGCAGATGTGTACTCCCGCGATCGCGCGGTCACCTCCAAGGATGGCCGTGGCGCCGGTGGTGGCGAAGGCATGTGGCCCCCTCCCCTCCGCGCCGCTGAGCGTCCTCGGGGCAGACGGCAGAGTGATCTTTATTGCCTCATCTTGTCAATGCTCCTCTCTCTTCCTCTCTGTACCTTCCCCTCATCCTCGACATCCTCTGTCCTCCGCGTCCTCGTGGGGCGACGGTGTCAGAAGCCCAGGGAGCCTGTTGGAAACCATCCCGCCTTCAAGGAAACTTTTTGTCAGCCGCTGAGCCCTTCTTAGAAGGCGGGCCCAATTCCCCCGCCCCTTGAGCGCCGCCAGATTTGGGAGGGAGGGGGCCGCACTTCCACCATCGCGGCCCCACTCCCTTTCACTTTGTTGGGTGTCTGGTGGACAGCCTGGATTCTACACACGGGGGTTCGTGCGCCACTTGAGCGAGACGCGACCGCACGCAAACGAGCGAACGGTCGGTTACTGTCAGTGTTGCTTGCCGTTGTCATGTCTGCCTCGTGATCCGCAACCTTCCTTCGGTCGGGTACGTAGTCGTTTCGAGTTTATACTAGAATCAGTTTTTGCTCCTCTCCTGTCCCGCATCCTCCCTCCTCTCCTCTTCCCTCACTCCTCTCCACGCCTCTCCCCGCCCAGTTTTGCCCCAACCATCCTGTGGTGTCGGGTCCTCGCTTGGAAGAGACAGTGCCCCGCGCCCTTTCCTACCCTCTCCTCTCCTCCTCCCCCTTCTCCTTCCTCTCGTCCCTGCTTCTGCCCTCCGCATGCCAATTTCGGCACACCCCGCGCACGCTCCGTGGCCCAGCACGGCGCTCCGCCGAAGGCCCCCGTGGCGTTGTTCGCATGCGGTGGCCCGCCCCATTTTGGCACACCCCATCGCGCGTGTCGTGGCCCCACAGGGCGCTCCACGGAAGGCCCCAGTGGCAGGGTCCACATGAACGTTCACATGCGCCTCCCGCACCATGTCGGCACATCCCTCGCACGCTTCGTGGCACCGTGTGGGGGCTCCACCGAGTGACACTTTTCTGGCGCTTCGTGGCCCATCGGGGGCTAGCTCTAACTGAGGCCCAAATGCCAGGGTTCACATGAGTTCACGTTTCCCACTGCGGCACATCCCTCAAAGGTTTCGTGGCCGCACAGGGGGCTCCACCGAAGGCGCCATTCGCAGGGTTATCGTGCGGTTCCCCACCCATTCCGGCACACCCCTCACACGTTTCATGGCCCCATAGGGAGCTCCACCGAAGGCCGCAGTGGCGAAGTTCGCATGCGTCCCCGCTCATTTCGGCACACCCCTCACACGTTTCGTGGCCCCAACCCTGCTCCTCCTCTTCCTTCTCTTCCTCCTCTTTCTCCTCCTCCTCCTCCTCTTCCATTTCTTTCTGAATAATTCCTCCCTGTCGCACCCTGAGGCCAGTCGGAAGGGCGGGCTGGGTGTTTTGCTTGAGATTTCCTCACCACGTATGAGCCTGCAGCTGAAACATTGGAAACCGTTTTACAGATGGAGGGCGGGCCGCTTCCGAAATGTGGCTCTCGCCGCAGCGCGGCGCACGTTCGCCTTGAAAAGTTGCAAGAGTTTCACGGATTGAGGGCGGGTCGTTTCCAAAATCTGTCTCTCGCCTTAGCGCCACGCGCATTCGTGTTACACAGATTAGCAAAAGTTTCACGGGTTGGGAACCAGCTGCTTTCAACATGTGGCTGTCGCCTTAGCACCTGTGCGCATTCGTTTTAAACATGTGCAAGAGTTTCACATATTCATATTCAGGGCTTGTGGTTTTCAAAATGTGGCTGTCGCCTTAGCGCCGCGCGCATTCGTTTTAAGCATTTGCAAGAGTTTCACGGGTTGAGGGCGGGTGGTTATCAAAATGTGGTTCTCGCCTTAGCGCCGCGCAGGATGGTCAGTGTGCAACAGTTGCGTTGACTTGCGGTGTTCAAGTCCAGGGAACTGTGTCCTGGCACGGTTCAGGATCTTCAAGACGCAGCAGTCAGGTGGACTCGTGGCGTTGATTTCCTGAGAATGGTGTTTCGGCACGCTTCGGGAATTGCACACGGTTGTCCCAACAACGGGGCATTCCTTTCAGTGGAAATTAATATTTGGAGGCAGGGTGTATACCAACATCCTCGATGGGTCTTGTGTTTGCACTGGTCCTCCTCTTCCTCGTCCTTCTCTTCTTCCTCCTCATCCTCCTCTTCCTCTCTCCTCCCATCCCTGCCTTTGCCCTCAGCATGTCAACGATTTCGGTACTCCCCTCACGCGTTTCGCGGCCCCATAGGGAGCTCCACCGAATGCACCAAAGTTCGCACGCGCTCCCCCCACCCAGTACAGCGTTCCGTGACACCATAATGGTGGCTCCACCGAAGGCCCCACAAGCGACGTTCGCATGCGTTTCACCCACCCACTGCAGCGTTTCGTGGACCCTTATCAGGGCTCCGCCGAAGGCACCAGAGGCGACGATCGCATGTTTTCTCATATTCAGTACATCGCTTCGTGACCCCATAGAGAGCTATACCGAAGGCCCCAGAAGCGACGTTCGCATGCGTGTTTCACACCCAGTGCAGCGTTCCGTGACCACATAGAGGGAGCTCCACCGAGCTTCCCACCCTTTAGCGATTCGTGGCCCCATGTGGGGGCTCCACCGACGGCACCAGAGGCGAAGTTCGCATGTTTTCTCCCATGTAGTAAATCGTTTCGCCAAGGCCCCAGAAGCGACGTTCGCATGCGTGTTTCACACACAGTGCAGCGTTCTGTGACCACATAGAGGGAGCTCCACCGAGCTTCCCACCCTTTAGCGATTCGTGGCCCCATGTGGGGGCTCCACCGAATGCCCCAGAGGCGACGTTTGCATGCGCTTCCTCCGCTCGGTGCAGCCCTTCTTGGTCCTATAGGTGGCTCACTGAAGGCCCCACGGGCGACGTTCGCATGCCCCCTCCCGCCCACCGAGTACACTCCACCGAATGCCCCCGAGGCGACGTTCACATGTGTTTCCCCATTGAGCACAACGTTTCGTGGCCCCATCAGGGTGCTCCACCGAGCGCCCCAGTGGCCATGGCCGCATGCGTCTCCCCACCCAGTACAGCGTTTCGTGGCCCCGAAGGAGCCCCACCGATGGCCCCAGCGGCCTGGCCGCATGCGCCCCAGTACAGCGCCTCGTGGCCCCGGGCGGAGCTCCACCGAACGCCGCATGCGTCTTTCCTGCCCAGCACAGTGCTCCGTGGCCCCACAAGGGGCTCCACCGAAGACCCTGGTGGCCGCGGCCGCATGCGTCTCCCCCACCCATTACTGCGCACCCCTCGCGCCATTCGTGGCCTCATAGGGGGCTCCACCGAGAGCGGGACCCACAACGCCGTATTCACAATTCCACATGGTTGGGTCTTTCGCTTGGATGCGTGCATTTCCCCAATCAGAGCTTGCCTCTGTAGGGGTCCTAGCGGATTCATATGGTTAGGTGAGCTTTGCCGCCGATTTCCGCGACCCGTCCGGGTGCCCTGGTGCCCGGGTGCTTGGGTGCCCAGGTGCCCGGGTGCTTGGGTGCCCGGGTGCCTTATAACCCGATAGCCCTATAACCCTATAGCCCTATAGCCTAATACCCTTATAGCCCTACAGCCCTACAGCCGTATAGCCCTATAGACCTATAGCCCTGTAGCCCTATAGCCCTATAGCCCTTTAGCCCTATAGCCCTATAAGCCCCATGGCCTTTTAGCCCTATGGCCCTATAGCCCATACAGCCTAACCGCCGTATAGCCCTATAGTCCTATAGCACTATAGCCCTATAGCCCTACAGCCCTATAGCCTTATAGCCTTATAGCCCTATAGCCCTATTCACCTACAGCCCTATAGCCCTATAGCCCTTTCGCCCTACAGCCCTATAGCCCTATAGCCCCATAGCCTTTCAGCCCTATTTTCCTATGCCCCTATAGTCCAATCGCCCTATAGCCCTATAGCCCTATAGCCCTACCGCCCTATAGCCTTATAGCCTTATAGCCCTGTAGCCCTATAGCCAGCCCTACTGCCCTAAAGCCCTACAGCTCTATATGCCTTTCGCCCTATAGCCCTATATCCCCACAGCCCTGTAGCCCTATAGCCCTATAGCCCTATGATCCTGTAGCCCTATAACCCCATAGACCTATAGCCCTATGGCCCTATAGCCCTAGAGCCCCATAGCCCCATAGCCCTATAGCCCTAAAGCCGTGTGGCCCTATAGCCCTATAGCCCTATAGCCCTGTAGACCTACAGCCCTATGGCCCTATAGCCCTACAGCCCTACAGCCCCATTGCCCTATATCCCTAACAATATGATGTTTGTTTTTTGTCCCCATGTTTTTGGGGAGGGGGGCACCTCCCTTGGTTGGGCCTCGTTCTAATATAGCACTGACTTGTCTGCCCTTCTGCGATCTCCCCCTTACCCTTCCTCCTATACCCCTAGGTGCCCAAGTCTTCTTACCCTTCGGTTTCTTGAAATCATCATACTGACATCCATGATGTTGATCGTGCCAAGGATGATACGGAGGAGCAGGATGAGGAAGACACGCCGCACAAGGAGGATGAGGAGGACGAGTAGGAGGAAGAGCAGGAGCAAGCTGGCGGATGAGAGAATACCTATGGAGTGTAATGGATGAGGAAGGTTGGCGAGGGGGAGGAGAAGGAGGAGGAGGATGAGGATTGATCACCAGGTTGGAAGAGGGCGATGAGGAGGATAAGGAATAATAAGAGGAGCGGTGGAAGGGAGGCGGAGAAATGATAAGGGAACATACAGGATGTAGGAGACCATGGGGAGGGGATGCGTATGATGCAGAGGGAGGGGGTTCAAGGATAATGGGATGCTGCTGACGAAGACGACGACGATGGATGATGAAGATGCTGCTGCTGCTGATGATGATGAGGAGGATGCTGATGATGATGATGCTGATGCTGATCATGATGGTGAGGAATAATATGATGATGCTGATGATGCTGATGATGATGACGCCGCTGCTGATGTTGTTGTTGCTGCTGCTGTTGCTGGTGCTGTTGCTGCTGCTGCTGCGGCTGCTGCTGCTGCTGTTGTT